ACAGCAAGGATGGACCGGCTCCCGGCATCTTATAAGTAGTTATTAGTGTTGGTGTTAATGAATTCGAATGGTTATTGGCTTTGTAAAAGACTACATAGTATGTAAAGTACAGCATAGGGAATATAGTCAATAATGTTTTAATAACTTGTATGGTGGATACTGGAAATACATGATTCTGTACTATGCACCTGAAACTAATAATAATATTGATGTAAACTATAATTGAAAAATTAAAAAATTTGTTGCAAATTTAAAGAATCTTAATGAAGTAGAACCTTGTCTTGTGTAGAAGTCAGCTTTGTTCACTGTTTCCAGGAAAAGCAATGACTAGTGTGTGTTTTTTTTTGGTCATGCTTTTGCTCGTGACTGGCAAAACTTCATAATTTTGAATGAGCTTGAATTTAAACATGAGATTCTGAAACGTTGTTGTAGAGGTTAGAAATTTAAAGGAGATGCAAATCTTGTTCAAAAGGTAAAGAGACTTTCAGAATCTGAAGGGTTTTATTGATGTTACATTTGCCTATAAATCTCAAACTAGATCATGCCTCCTAACCAGCCCACTCCTTTCATCCCCAACTGTTTAGGTAAAAGTTTTGAAAAGATCTCTGTTTCTGTATTTTTTAAAACTGGGTTCTAAGATAACATGTTTCTAAGGTAGCTCACTTTGCATTTCTACAAAGCAATTTTATAAGTCATTGATAGAGTGTTTGGACTCTTAAAATGAGAACAACGAATAATTTTTCAGGGCTAGGAATTATTTTTAAGGGTATTAGAGTATTCTAAAACGATGGAGTGGATTTTTATAAAAGAAGCAGAAAATAGGACATTTGGGGTCTTTCTAATAATTTTTGAGGAATGACATTCTTTTACATTACCGTCCACTTAAGTAACTTAACTTTTTAAATTTGTGATTTGCCTTTTTCTACAGTTAAAAAAAGTCATTTTGGAGCCATGGTGAGATAATTACAATTACAGATGTACTTAAGCAAATATTTGGTGTCGGGATTTAAATGTCCTGTGAATATGAAAGCCGAGGGGCGTGATAGTGCTTGCCATGTTTCACCTGGGCACTGCTTCCTGGCGGAAGACATTGTGTTTTTGAGTTCTGGAGCCCCTTGGGTGAACAGACTGGTTATTAAATGGTTTCCTCATTCTTGGGAGTCTACATCTGTGCCAGAAATCTCTACGAGACTTGATAAGAAATCAAGCAAGTGAAAAGTTCCCAGTTGGTTGACAGCGTCTTAGAAATTATTTTAGGCTGTGTACTAAGTCTTCTTCATACATTGACTTTATTGTTGTTTTTTTCCTGCTGTTCTGACTATACATTTAGTTAATTCTGATACAAGACTTCTCTCTGGAGTGTCTGTTTTACACCTAATTCCAATTATACTTGGCAAGTTGTGTGAGGTGTGATACGGTTGAAGGATAGCTACCCTGGGATCAGCTACTTTACAGACTGGCACTTTATTCCAAGGGCATACTTTCCAGTGGAAAATATAAGCCTCTAAACTGACAGTAACATTTAATTTTTCTTTCTTTTTTTTTTTTAAGGATATTTACCTTATTTGACCCTCTGGCCTTTCATTCCATTGCCCACTCCCTCCTTAATAAAAGCAATTTTCCCATAGTTTCTAAGATACCATTTAATGATAGCTTTTTACCTTAACACGACATGTTCTCAGATTTCCTTTGTGAGTTTTGTCACTTGTTAGTATTCCCTTCCCCTTCCTTGTCTACTTTGGTAAGTGCCACCTCCTGTACAAAGTTTTCCTTTTCAAGGTGAGAATGACAGCTAGGTTTTTCCTGTGCTTCCACAAGCCCTCTGCACATCTGTTAGAGTTCTTAACTCCCCCTTCTCCATATAAAACTGAACTCTTGAGGGAAATCTGTTCCTCTGTGCCCTTTTTGTTTTTATGTCCTGGGTTCTTAAAATACTGTGATTTATAGTAAGGATTCAAAATGTTTTTGGTTGGATGTGGGTAGATTATGAAAAGTTGTACAGGCACAGGTATATTTAATTTAAATTCAATAAAAATTTTTGTAACTGTTTGCTCCATATTGTAGTAGGTGTGATAAAGTGGAGAGAGGTTTTCGTGTAATCCCAGAGAGATAATTTAGGCTGTTGTTCTATTTGACTAAAGTGGGCTCTTCTGTTTTTCTTTCCAGCATACAAGACAGTATCAGGAGTCAATGGTCCACTAGTGATCTTGGATCATGTTAAGGTAATATACCACCATCGTTTACCATTTGTGAAGTTTAAAACATGGCATTAAGTCCTGTTTAAGAATGCTTTAAGTTTTATGTTACGATTTTTAAGCCATTCCTTGGTCTGAATGTCAGTGCTATAGAGGAGCCAAGAGTTTTAGATAAAAATGAGAAGACTGGATTCTAGTACTGGGTATACTATGGATTCTGTTTGTGACTGAGGGTCTTTTGTCTGCAGAATTAAAAAAAAATTTTTTTTGTTGCTCCTACCTCACAGATACGTTTTATAGAAAATTATAAAACTGTTGAAAGACATAAAAAACCTTAAGTGTAGATTCCATGTTCATGAATGACAGAATAGCAAAGATGTTGATTTTCCCCAGGTAACAAAATCAGTTAGAGACAGAGTAATTAGGAATAGAAATTTGGTGCAGGAGTAAGCAAGTATATCAGTGGAGCGAAGTTAAGAAGTTGCCTCACACAAGAGAATTGGACTTGGTAAATAGTAAAGTCTACAATACAAGCCAGTGGGAGACATTTTGTGCTACTCGGTAAATATTATTAGGGCGTTTGGCTTCTTATATGCAAAAGAATAAAAATGAGAAAGGTAAAATTACATAGCAAAAATAAATCCAGATGGATTAAAGGCCTGAACATGAAAAACCTATTTCAGAAGACAGCACAGAAGACCATTTTAATGACTTCTCAACAGTACACAAGAGGTACAAATTATAAAGGAAAACAAATTATTTTATTCCGTAAAAAGTTTTAAAACTTCATATGGTAAGATACCATAAACAAAATTAAAATGTAAGAGACTGACTTGGAACAGATATTTGCAAAAAGGTTAGTATCCAGAATCTATAAAACTCCTAAAAATAAATAAGAAAAGCAGATCCAGTTGAAAAGTGAGGAAAAGATAGTAATAAGCCAATCATAGGAAATAAAGTCTGAATTGTAAGTAAACATGAAAAGATGCTCAATATTAGTAGAATCAGAAAAATGCAATTTGGAAAGATGCTATTTTTTACTTTATTAAATGGCAAAAATTAATGTTTAATTGAAAATATACTTTTGTATACTGCTAGGAAGATTGTAAATTAATACAGTTCTTTGCAGAGTAATTTGGCAGAAAATGGGCACAGCCTGTAGCCCACCACTGAGTAATCAAATACCTTAGGGCAGTGGTTCTCAACCTTCCTAATGCCGTGACCCTTTAATACAGTTCCTCATGTTGTGATGACCCCCAACCATAAAATTATTTTCGTTGCTACTTTGTAACTGTAATTTTGCTACTGTTATGAATCGTAATGTAAATATCTGATAGGCAGGATATATTGTATTGTTACAAATTGAACATTATTAAAGCATAGTGATAAATCATAGAAACAATATGTAATTATATATGTATTTTCTGATGGTCTTAGGCGACCCCTGTGAAAGGGTCATTTGACCCCCAAAGGGGTCGCGACCCACAGGTTGAGAACCACTGCCTTAGGGGCACTCAGGCACACTTGCACGCAGAGCACATGGGAGAATGTTCATCCTTGAACTCCATTGGTAGAACAACTGAATAAAATATGGTGTCATTTGATTTTTTTAAAAATCTTTATTGTTGAAAGTTACATAGGTCCTCCTTTTTGTGTCATTTGATTTTATTTTCACTGTATCTGTTTTAACATTAATTCTAAGATGACCATATATCCAAAATCAAGTTGCTATCAATGGTCTGTCATAGTTTACTTGGCAGATGTTTTTCTTCACTTCACACAAAAGAGTGGTGCATCTTTCAATAGATTATGTTAACAAAATAAGGTCAATATTACCATGACAGACCCAAAACACAATGTCAAATGAAAAAGAGGTAGAAGGTGATATATTTAGTATGTTGCCATTTATATAAATGAAACTACACTCTATTTTTAGAAACATGCATTTAAAATATTAAGAACAGATAGAAGGAATACGTATCTGGTTAGGAGAATTAGATTGAGGAGGTACCGTTAATGTTACCATATTATAATAGCTACTAGATGCCCCCCTGGTGATCAGTGCTTGTCATAGTGACTGGTCATTCCCTGTTGTTCTACCCTTAGGGTCAATTTGCATATTACCTTTTTATTATATAGGATTATTACTTAATTGCATTTTACCCCTCTGCCTCCAATGCATGCAGGAGATTACACACACATCCCAGATTATACACACAACAAACATCACTTCTGAGTAGGGGGAGCATGGTTATTTGTAAGTTCTGTACCTTTCTGTAGTCTCAAAACTTTAAAATACACACAGAAGAAGATAACTTAATTGCTGTGTTTTCACAAATTTAAGACTCTTCTCTATCTTATGCTGGTTTGCCAATGTGTATACCAGTGGTTGGCGTTTTAAGGACTTAAACTGCTTGAGGATGTCATCAACTCTTGGGTGTACCTTGTGTGTCAGGGAGGTGGTGGGATTGCATATGGATACATGCTATGATGGAGATAGAGCACATGGTGTATTTTGGAGTTTTTAACCCTACCCCTAAATCTAACTTTAACCTCTAACCCTATAGTTAGTTATCGATCCTTTATTTTTTTTTATTTAGTTTCCCAGGTATGCTGAGATTGTTCACTTGACATTACCAGATGGCACGAAGAGAAGTGGGCAAGTTCTAGAAGTTAGTGGTTCCAAAGCAGTGGTTCAGGTAAGCATAATTTTAATAACTGGCTAGTTGAACTTTTTCCTAATCACAAAAATGTAAGGAACACTGCATGTTTTTTCTAGTCATTGAATAAGTATGTCTGTGGAGGAAAAAATTATTTTTGCATGTTTTCTTGTCAGATGTCAGCCACTTATATCCTAGATTCTAGCCCAATAGCATTACTGGTAAAATGGCTTTTTTTTTTAATGGATAAAATGAAGCAGATGATCACATAGAAGGAGAGAGAAGAAAAGCAGAATTCACAGCTTATGGAATGAAACCAAAACAGAATCTGAGTCTGTTTCTTTAAATTGTCTCCTATAATTCCTAGTTTTTAATGCTACTGCTTACGGTAAATGCATTTTTCCCATACATGTTCCCCTAAAAAGTAATCTAGAGCAAGGGCAAAATTTTTGTAAAGGGCCAGATAGTAAAGTTTTTAGGGTTGTGGAGCCACCTAAGATCTCTGATGCATATTTTTACTCTTCTTTCTTTTTTTAAAGTAAACAGTTATTTAAAAATGTAAAAAAAATTTCTTAGTTTGCTTGTAGGATTGGATGTCCTTCATGCACGACCCTTGTTAAGAGGTTGTGTTTGTGGTACTAATAATAGTGTACATTTATGTATTTGAGTTTATTAGGGCTGAAAAAATTTAAATTTCTTTTACCCTCCTGATTACTTCTCTTTCTTGGTAGGTATTTGAAGGGACTTCAGGTATAGATGCCAGGAAAACATCCTGTGAGTTTACTGGGGATATTCTCCGAACACCAGTGTCTGAGGATATGCTTGGTAAGTTGATATCCTTTTCCACACATTTCCATAAAATCTTTTAAAAAAGTGATGAATATTTGTAACATTGTCTGCCGGAAGCCAATTCCAGCATGTCAGCAGGGCTGAATCATCTGGAGATGGCTGAGGGCATTTCCCCAAACCTGAAAAGGATGCATGGGATGATTGCTTGCTGCCAGACAGCTAAAGGCATCTCATCTACATGTTATTGCCTCCTACTGGCCAAACATCTGAACAGCCGTAGGCAAATCCTCCCCCCCCCCCATCTGACAATGCTTTTGTATACAAACCCTGGCCTTTGATGTATATCTACCTTGCCTAAGGACAAATTGTGTTAATAAATAGCACGGGGTCCTGAGACAAGGAGAACTTAGTTCCTTTAGCTAAGCTCCTCTGGCCCCTCAAATGCCTTTCAAAATTAAGTTTCGTCTCTGGACTCTTATTTAATTTACGCACAGCGCCTTCTCCAGGTTCCTGAACCCTTCTAGATGCTGGATTAAGACGACCGGCGTTAATTGTCCACTTGTACTGTCCTATTGTTTTACAGGTCGGGTATTCAATGGGTCAGGAAAACCGATCGACAGAGGTCCGGTTGTACTGGCTGAAGACTTCCTTGACATCATGGGTAAGAACAGTAAATGGGATTCTGTGTTTTGTGGAAAGTAGCCTATATCTGTCTAGCTTATATCTTCGCCAGATGGTGATCTTTTGTGGTACTTTAAGTTGATAACCAACTTGCTCCATAATTAATTACTTATTATTTAATAAATTTATTTTTTCCTAGAGATGATCTTAATATTTTATATAAGTATCTTAATATATCACTAGGGTATATTAGGAATGTAAATAATAAAGTGATGGCTTTGAGGCTTGCTCTCTTATTTGCTATACCTCTATTTCACTTTAAGAACTTGAGTTCCACTATCAATATTTCATGAGTCTAGGCAAGACTAATGGAAAAAATTATCTAAACAGTTTTAGATTTCAGAAAATAACTGATATTTTAAGAGTAGAAAGAAATGCTTTATATGTTTTAGTCTGCTTGCACAGACATATTAAAATGTTCCCTTTTGGAAATTCATTAGGCCAGCCAATCAATCCTCAGTGTCGAATCTACCCAGAGGAGATGATTCAGACCGGCATCTCGGCCATAGATGGCATGAACAGTATTGCTAGGGGGCAGAAAATTCCTATCTTCTCTGCTGCTGGCTTACCACACAATGAGGTGAGAACTAGGGTCTATTTGATATGAAATTTAACAAGGAAGAATTCCTAAATGCTTGACATTAGTGAGAAACCAAAGGGGTTTCAACATTAATCTCCAGTGTTACTGTTTATATAATCCAGTTACAGTGAATCTTTATCCATACACTAGAGGTCCTGTGCACGAATTTGTGCACGAGATAGGGATGGGGCTGGCCAGGGGGAGGGGCTGTGGATGGTTGGCAGGCTGGCTGAACTCCCGGTGGAAGGGACTTCGCATATTAGCCTTTTATTATATAGGATGATAGCTCTCTTTTTACTTACTCTTATGAATTTTTGCATGCAAAGTGCAAAATAGTTTTATTGGATAAAGTCCTTTAAAACAGCGGTCACCAGCTGGTGGTCCGCAGACCACTGGTGGTCCATGAGGTCTGAAAGGTTGGCGACTGCTGCTTTAAAACATTCCAATTTTATTTATAATTAAAATTTCAAAAAGTTTAGGATAAAAGTTACTCTGTTTTAGCAATGTGGTTTTAGATTTCAACTCAGTGCTTTTGTACTCCTCATCAGATTGCAGCTCAGATCTGTCGGCAGGCTGGTTTGGTGAAGAAATCCAAAGATGTAGTGGACTACAGTGAGGAAAATTTTGCAATTGTATTTGCTGCTATGGGTGTAAGTATAAATATTTGCTGGTTTAGTATGAAATATAAAATTACTTGCTTATGTTATTAGAATAGTGTAGAAATTACACATGTATCATTGAATTTCTATCTAGGTAAAGAAGTTGCAAACTAAGGATTAAAATTTGGCATTTGACTATGAAATGTAAGAATAATTTTCTTTGTGCCCAAAGTAGGCTGTTTACTCTGTTGGCTTTTGTGAAAAATATGTGTGAGTACTTGACAACTTTAAAAGAAGGAGCAATGCAGATCTATAGCTTAGCCTGCATCAGAAATACGTAGTATTGAGAGTTTTCTTCGCCCAGCACTGATGAAGTCATTGCTATTTAGGTAAACATGGAAACTGCCCGGTTCTTCAAATCTGACTTTGAAGAAAATGGCTCCATGGACAACGTCTGCCTCTTTTTGAACTTGGCTAATGACCCTACGTAAGTAAATAGAGCTGTTTCTTTCTGTTCACCCAGGCTTCGGGTCCAAATGCTACCTAAGACTAGGGAGGAAAAGTGTTATGAAGCAGCATGGACTTAAGAAGGAGATAGCGTTATCTAAATTCCAGTTGTACTTCTTGGTAGTTATTTGGCTTTGGGCAAATCATGAAGGTTCTGAAGGTCAGTTTCCTCTTCCAGAAAACGTGACAAATAATACTTGTTTCACAGGGTTATTGTGTTTATTAAATGAGAGAATCTGTATAAATCACCTAGTACACAGTTTGTACTCAATGAATGATCTTTTCCTCTTAACTGAGAAATCTGGACCCTTTTTCTCCTTTCTTCCCCCCCTCTCTCTCCCTCTCCCCCCTCTCTCTTTCTCTTTCTGTTTTGAGAACTATATAGTTCTGAGAAATTATAAAATAACTGATTTAACTTTGTAGAACTAATTATTATGTAAATACATAAAGTAAATACATAAAGTAATAATACATAATTATTATTATGTAAATACATTAACGTTTACAGTAATAATAGCTTTACCCTCCTCAATTTATTTAAAACTTGTAGAGGGAGGTTGTACTATTATTTCCAGAATCTCATTTTCTTTTGTTTTTGGCCTTTTTGTTTGAGTGACATAGGACTTAATGTTCCATTTCAGTATTGAACGAATTATCACTCCTCGCTTGGCTCTAACCACAGCTGAATTTCTGGCCTATCAGTGTGAGAAACATGTATTGGTTATCCTAACAGACATGAGCTCTTATGCTGAAGCACTCCGAGAGGTAACTTCTTTCTAAATTAAAATGGCTTCATTTCCAGGGGTATCTTGTCCCTTTGCAAGTTTTCATTTTTCTTTCATCATGTTTTTTATTTTTTTAAATATATTTTTATTTCAGAGAGGAAGGGAGAAGGAAAGAGAGAGAGAGAAACATCAGTGATGAGAGAGAATCATTGATGGGCTGCCTCCCGCACACCTGCCACTGGGGATGGAGCCCGCAACCCAGGCATGTGCCCTTGACCTGAATCGAACCCAGGACCCCTCAGTCCATAAGCTGATGCTCTATCCACTGAGCCAAACCAGCTAGGGTTTTCAGATGTTTTTAAAACATATATCTGTCACTTTAATTGAAAAGATTAGATGATAAGATTTAAATTATTAGCCTATTTATCATTCTGTCACTGTCTCCATGAATTAAGACTGGATTCTAAGAGAGAGTAAATGGTAAATGATGCAAGCTCTTTATTCAGTTACTCTCCCAGGAAGTTCTGTCTCTGTTCACACTGTCAGTTTTTAACGTTTTCCAGAATTTTATTCTTAATGATGTTACTATTTGAATAGATAAAGTCCATATTCTGGCAGCACCCTTCTCAGGACCTTTTCCTTCAGAAAACTCAGTGTTTAATTAGGACAATATTAAGATTTTTGTGTTATCACCAGAAATTTAGGGTGTTTGTTCTAATGCAAGTTACTCAAATGTTGAGTGAGGTACTCTTTTAAGCTTGTAAAAAGTTTTTTAAAATTCCCTGAGATCCATCACCAAATCTCACTCTGCTACCAAGGTTTTTTAGTGGACGACTCCCCTCCCCTGATAACCATCATAAACCAATACCTTTTCTAAAATGAGCTATTAGAAAGTGAAATTTAAAAATACATAATTTATAAGCCCAGATTTATTTTATTAGATTCAACAGACATAAAATTATTCTGTTAAATTGCCATTGAAGTTTTCTAAATGCTTATCTTATTTTCTCATTGCACATTGATAAGAGCTAGTCTGCAGACCATACTTTGAGTGACGCTGCCATAGCACACTCTTTTGAAGGAAACACTTAAACTTGGCCTTAATGTTTTGGGTTTTTAGTGGTTGTAGATTAATAGGTACACCTATATTCTAGTATGCATATCTCAAAGAGAAAGACCATTTGTTATTAATCTCATTTTGTGCAGTGAATGGACTCCTGGCTCTGTGATTTTGGGAAATTATTTATCTGACCTTTGGTTCTAACTACAGATTGACATTAACAATAACATTACCTTCCTCATAGGGTTGTTGTGAGGATTAAATAATGAATGTAAAGTATAAAGTACATCAGATGACTCCTGGTGTAGATTTCCTTCCCTTTTGACCTTTTTGGGTTTAGCTTACATATATATATGGCAAGACCCTTGGCATAAAATAAATCTTGTGAACTAATCAATTCTCTTAGTTCCGTGGTCGGCAAACTGCGGCTCGTGAGCCACATGTGGCTCTTTGGCCCCTTGAGTGTGGCTCTTCCTAAGCCTTAGGAGTACCCTAATTAAGTTAATAACAATGTTGTTAAGTTTAAAAAATTTGGCTCTCAAAAGAAATTTGAGTTTAAGTTTAAAAAATTTGGCCCTATATAGTTTAAGTTTAAAAAATTTGGCTCTCAAAAGAAATTTCAGTCATTGTACTGTTGATATTTGGCTCTGTTGATTAATGAGTTTGCCGACCACTGTCTTAGTTTTAAAATTAACTTCCTTTGGTTTATAAAATTGCAAGCTATTTCCTTCTAACAAGCTATTTGGAGATTTGGCAACATGATTTTAGTGAAAAAAACGTCTGGTCCAATTGTCAGCATTTTCATTGCAGAATACTTGAAATGTGTTACTAGATTTTTCTAAATGATCTCTTAGAGACTATTTAAAATGGAAAAGATAATATTCCAACTTTCTAAGTGTGTTCAAACAAACGAAGCTTTGCTTTCCATATTCCATGTTGTGTGATATTCTCCTCCTTGGCTTATGTTAGGTTTCAGCGGCCAGGGAAGAAGTTCCTGGTCGACGAGGTTTCCCAGGTTACATGTATACGGATTTAGCCACAATATATGAACGTGCTGGTCGAGTGGAAGGTAGAAATGGCTCGATTACTCAAATCCCTATTCTCACCATGCCTAATGATGGTAAGTTTTTGGTTTTTGGATTATAGCAGGCTTAATGCTTGTAAGGGCTTTGATTCTAAGAGAGAAGACAATCTACCTTTTTGAGAGTGTTTATCTTCCAAGGGTTTACATTAACTAGTAATTTGTACCTAAATAAAATTTTTCATTTGAAAACTGCTCATAATTATCATTATCCTTTTGTGGACGAATAAGTAATAATTTTTTTTATAATTAGAATTTTAAGTTTTCATTTACTGGATACTATTGAGTGCCTGCTATTGGTAGGACATTGGTCTGAATATAAGTAATTAATAAAACCACTATGGTCTTT